GCAAAAATAGATAATAACATAGTGGATGTGCAAGAAAAAGGGCATTCACATATTACCACCAAAAAATGAATATTTTTACAGTGTGAAACATATGTTATTAGAATGTTTTTGGAAATCCATATTGTACCACTTATGTAAAAAAAAATGATTTATAACTACCTCTCCTGGGAAATTATTCCATGGAGATGAAACACTAATGTATGTATGTGCATATGTCTTAAAATGACATTTTATTTAATAGTAGCATTTTCTAAATATCTAGAGGAAAAGTTAATGCTTATTAATAAGGTATAAATATATCATGGTATAGGTAAATTACTGAATATTATGTCACAATTTAATATAATTAATAACAGCTACACATTTACCTTGGAGGAATATTCTATAGATGCTTTTTAATTATAAGGGAAGGAAAAGTATTTTTTTGTAATAGCCTACATTCTAAATAAATGACAAAATGTTGTGTGCATATAAAATTATATAATCACATAGAAAGTTTAAACATTTTTCTTCATAGAATGATGATTGGATGCCTTATACCAGCACACCCCTGGAAATAAGGGGTCATTGTCAGCACCCTCGGCAAACCTTCTGGTTTGCAGATGATGTGGGAGACGCCTGCATCCTTGCAATGTGAGAAATGGAAAATGAAGTGATTAGACCCTTCATAAATCTTTTTTTCTATGTAACTTTTAACAAATTGTTAGCTATTCTCACCATAAAAGGGACTTTGATTTTCTGCCAAATTCAGGAGGTGAAGATTTATTAGTCAAGCTAGGAGCACTTTGGGTGATAGTGTTTCTGGGACCAAGTTGGAGGAGATTTAAGTTGCTTTAGGAGGTAATTAAGGAAGCTATGATCTGTCTTTTTGTTCCTATGGTCCATTCTTCTCCAGGCCTGGTTTTGTTTGAAAGCAGAGGGGAGATCTACTTGAATAGAATTCTTTTTTACATATCTTTGGAAATGGTCAAAGAATGGTCACAGGAAATTATTCTAAAGCAGCTAAGTTTGTCCTCCTGCATTTAACGCTGCAGCCAGAGCTCCAGCTTCTCGGAAGAGAAGTCCTGTTTCTGGGAATCTTTGTGGTGAGTGGTGGAGACCCAGACTTTATTCTCCGGATTGCATTCAGCATGTCACTTCACTCCCCCAGGCACTATTTTCTCAGCAGCTTGTCCTTTATTCATCCTTGATAGTCCTGTCATGCCCCCCAAATGCGCTGAAATTCCTAGGCAGGAAGGATCTGGTCCTTTATTCTGAAGACTGCTTGACACAGTTCTTTTCCTTTGTGTCTGTGGTGTCTGAGGGTTACCTTCTGAACCTGTGGCATACGATCATGATCTGTCTGCTGCTCTCTATAGCTGGCTATTTAGAAGATGATCACATCCTCTTGAGTCTGTTCACTGCTCATGCTAATTGCCCTCATCCTGTATTTCTCTCTGCCCTGACCCACACTAATGTAATGATAAAATTCTCCTTCTGCAAACTCACATCATCAGCTGTCACTTCAGGGCTATCTCTCCTTTCCACATCTCTCTAGCACTAACATGCACCTCTTGCATTATTCATTACTGTGGGATTTAACACCTTAGTGGCTACTCTAGTGTCATCATTGTTTTGCCTTTATCTTCTACAACATGTTTATGTACAATCCTCAGGTGGCTGGTCCAAAGCGTTTGAAATTTACTTTTAATTGAGGTAGCACTTGGTATATAACATTGTGTGATTTTAAGGCTCTCATTTCACAGCTGTGAGAATTTTCTGAGTCTATAATATTCAGTTATTTAAAACCCTTTTCCAGGCCTCCCCTGGTGGCGCAGGCAATTGAGCGCTGTGCTGTGCAGCTGTCTGTAGCCTCTACAGTGTGGGTTTAATCCCGGCCGGCAGGCGAGAATCCCACATGGCGTGGCCGACCTCTCCTGTCGCGCCTGCTGCTCCTCTCAGCAGTGTATTTCATCAATCTGCCTGTTCTGTTCCCCACTCTGTCTCTGGTGAATCCTCTCACCTTCCCATGCATCTGGCCTGTACCCCAGCTCTTGTATAAATAAATAAAATCTTTAAAAAAAAAAACCCTTTCTAATAAGCCCCTGGAACAAGAGAAGATATACTTAGGGTTTTACACCACAGTGCTCCCCATGCAACAGGTGAAATAATGCAGTCATTTTGGAAAACAATATTTCAGGTCCTTACAAAAAAAAAAAAACTACAAAAACTGAATTTATGCCTTAACTGTTACCCAGACATTCTACTCTATGGTGGATTTACTCAGGTGAAAGGAAAGCATATGATCACAAGATAGTCTTGCACACAGATGCTCATAGTATCTTTATTTTTGATGGCCACCAATAAGAAATAACCCAATGTCCATCATGAGTTAGAGTTAAACATATTACAGTATATCTATACAATGAAATACCACTTCAACAATGGGAAGGAGTGACTCAGTGGTGCACACAAAGACACTGATGAAACTCAAAATAATTACACTTAGAAAAATAAGCCCATATAAAGGAGTACTTACTCTATGATTTCATTTACACAGTCTTAAAAACAAAAACTAATCTATAGTGACAAAAAGGCATGATACTATAGGAAGAGATAATCAAGGAACATGTGGAAACATTTAAGAGTGATGGGTAAATTTATTGCTTGTGGGAATGGTTTCATGAGTGGATAGATATGAATGTCAGTGATAATCTCATTGTACACTTTAAACACGTACATCGGTTGAAGGTCATGAAATAGTTACAAAAACAGTTATAAGAAAATTGAGAAGGAACATAGCTGGACTTGTTATTTCCTTCTGGCAAAAACAGTTTTTAAGTAGTTACTCTTGGTTTCACAGGGAATAATGAGATTGAGTGGGATGAGCAGACAGAGGTGTTATTCTGCAAGTCTCTTCACAGAAAAAGCACACGCCTTGGAGTTTCCCTTTTTTTGACAATGGAGTCTGGAAATGCACATACATCTTGAATACATTTTCACTATGACCACTGACTTTTCTGTAAATCATTCCTGGAAGAAATCAATCTTTAGACAGGAAGGTCTTCTTCTAAAATTAGATTTTCCTATCTGTGGTTTTTAAAGAAATTGGAGCTTTCGTAGCAGGAATTATTCCAAGTTTTGAATATTTCTCCCTGTTCTTCCTCAACAGGAAAATAAACATTCTAGTCATTTTATTTAGTATCTAATTTCTTTAAGAATATGGAATTGCTTGTGTGTGTGTGTGTGTGTGTGTTACACATTTTTCCTTTGTGTAGATCAAGTAATACATAGGACTTTGTAATCACTCCTGGCCAAATTCATTTTCATTTATAACAAGATTTAAAGTGAATTAAAAATTTTTAATCCCAGTTATAATTTCATTTGTATTATATTGCTTCAATATGGGAGATGAGAACTTCCATGAAATACTGTTAAAAACTTAAAATTTTACTTTAAAATAGGGTTACAACTGTCTGTTTTTGGTTTCTGTTGACATCCTTCTTTGGTTATTTCATACACATATTTAAGGTATTAGCATAAATATCCCCCTTTTGTATAGTTATTTATCTAAATTCGCTAACTTATCCTTAATCAAGTCTAATTCTAACATATCTGCTTGGTGTATAACAAAATTATTGATTTATTAGACCTCTAAGATAGTAAATTCCATAATAATGGGACAAAAAAATGAATGAATGGAATTTCAGATACTGTCATCTGATCTCGCCATTTCTATGCAAAATGTGAAATGTACATTATTGATCATTGTCACTTGAGCTATTATTCATGTAGCTTTTGCTATTGTCTCTTTCATAATGGAGATGTGAGAAACTGAATTCTCAAAGGAGATCTGACACTTTGTGAACATGTGTATCTGTGCCTGCACTTGCTGGGAGAGTAGAATGACTTTTACTTGGTAATCAGGTGCTATTTAAACCACCTGGGGAGGCAGTATGCTGTCCAATTTGAAACTCGCTCTACCTCCTTAAATTAGTAAAATGGCAACTTTGGAATAACAATGAAAAGAAAATAACTATGAGCAATTTTTAGTAGAAAATATCACCATCCACTCTGCCCATGAGAAGGCAAATAGAAAGTGAAATAACAGGAGACAACTGATGTCCACGTCAGAGTTTAAGAAAAGAACCCGGGGCAATCACAACTCTGGCCAGTGTGCTTGAGGAGAGAATTTCTTGGGAAATGTTCTGTGGAAAGGAACAGGATGAGACAGTGTGCAGAGGAGAATCACTTAGAGCTGTGTCTTAGGGTCATGTCCATGACCGGTGCCTGCATATTTCTAAGGAAAGCTATTACTTATGAAGTGATAGAATTATCAGTTGCCTGTAAATTTTGTTAGGTTAAAATACCTTTTCAACAACTAGCTTCATTGGCCTACATTGTACTAGATACTTTGCTGTTAATGATTATTAAATTCATTTTGTGAATGTTCATTAATTTTAGAAAGGTATGGTTTTAAGAGAAAGATATATGGCAGAACAAAAAAAGGTGGACCTATGAAAGGATCATCAATTAGTCATTTGTCCAATTACATTTTGCAGCCCCCCATGACCAAGGGTTAAGATTATTGGTTTTTGTCACAGTCTAGTCTTAAGGAACTTACTGAGTGTTAAATATACTGAATGTTCTGTAGCTAGTTATATTAGGCAGAAGGAGGTGAATGTTAATTTGCTTCATCTAAAGGAAAATATTCTATCTGGAATATTCTCATTAAGGAAGGAAGACCATGAAAATTAAGCTCAAAAGAATTTTTGAAATGAACCTCTTTAAACTTCACCAGTGACCTATTGAGTAATAACATGTAAAAGCTTGCTAAAGGGATGTGTGTGTGTGTGTTATGTATGTATCCATATGTTTACCCAAGCTTCCATAGAAGGGTTAATATTGTTAGAGCAAATCAGAATGTATTGTTACCTTTTAGAAAGAGAAGTGGGTTTTAAAAAGAAATCAGAACACTGTTGCCATGACTTTCAGTGATTGACTCTTACCCTGAGGTGACCTTACCTCATCCCCAGGACTTTTCTCAGCACATTCTTTACATCCTTATTTCTCAAGCTATAGATCAAGGGATTCACCATGGGGACCACCGTGGTATAGAACACAGAGGCCACCTTCTCCTGCGTCATGCTGCTGCTGGAGGAGGGCTTAAAATACATAAACACGATGGAGCCATAAAAGATCCCAACAGCTGTAAAATGAGAGCCACAGGTACCAAAGGCTTTGGACCTACCTTCAGCTGAGGGAATTCGAAGAACGTTGGCAATAATGAAAGCATAAGAGACAATGATGGTCCCAGTGGTTGACAGCATATCAAATCCACCTACAAGTAGTATCATAAGCTCATTTAGATTGGTGCTAGAACAGGAGAGCTTGAGAAGAGGAACTATATCACAGAAATAATGATGAACAACATTGTCCCCACAGAAGGATATCCTGACCATAGAGAGTGTGTGGGCAAAAGCTCCAAGTAGTGCCATGGTATAGACCCCAGTCACCAACACATTGCACACCTTTTGGGACATGGTAACACTGTACAACAGAGGATTACAGATAGCCACATATCTATCATATGCCATTGCTGACAGCATAAAACACTCTCCAATAGCAAAAACACAGAAGAAGAAAAGCTGTGTGATACATCCAGGGTAGGAAATAACATTTTGCTCCAATACAAAGTTTCCCAGGAGTTTGGGGGTAACAACTGTTGAGTAAAAGAGATCGATGAATGACAAATTACCCAGAAAGAAGTACATGGGAGATTGGAGCTTGGCATTGAAAGTGATTAGGAGAATCATGCCCAGGTTTCCCACTATAGTGACCACGTAGATTCCCAGAAACAGGAAGAAGAGGGGCAGCTGGAGTTCTGGCTGGTGTGTTAATCCTTCTAGGACAAACTCAGTCACAATGGAATAATTGCTCCATGTAATTTCCTTCAGCAAACAGGATATATAAAACAAGGAAAAAGGAAAGTGACAGTATGAAAGCTATGTTCCCTGATTGGTAAAGGCCTTATTGCTATTATGACAGAAAAAAAGAACAAACAACAATTAATTACTTGTAAAAACATTGTCAATAATAACCCATTGGAATATAATTCCATATTTTGTTAACATTTAAAAATACTGATAGTTAAATTTATATTTTGATGTTAAACTGCTATATTTAGCCAAAGATATACAAAGATATTCAGAAACATAAACCCATTCAGTGTATTTTTAAAAATTGTCAGAGATTATCTGATAAGTTGAAACTGTCATTGAGTTTTATGTGATCATTGATCTAATTGATTGGTGTATGGAACAAGCAGGCACTAAGCAATTATGGATTCACTGGGACATAGCTTATAGTGTTGAAACCTCTGTGCTCTAGTGACAGGGAGGGTTTTTTTAGTGTTAACAATGTACTTTATTAGTTAGCATCAAGACTTTTATGCACACTAGTTGTTATTTACCCCATGTGCAGAGTTCTCCTCTAGCAGGAAAGAGTAGTGAATATATATTGTAGGGTCAGGATCAATTATAAGAAGGAAACGCAGAAACACTTATGCTCCAACTTAAGGAGAACTTACATAATTCTGAAGTTTTCAAATGAGTGAGTACTCCACTATATATTTTTCTTTTTAGGAAGATTTTTGAAATATTTTGTGGTACATCCTAGGAAATTAATGAAATAAGGGATTTTTTTCCTGGTTATTCCACCCACTCCACTCCCAACAGAAAACTCTGCTCTTCCAACTTCAGGTGCATTGAGTTAGGTAATAGTCACACTATTTGGGTATAAATTTTTATTCTTTTGGGATATAAATGTAATTGTTACTTGTAGTTCCCTTTTAGTTTCCTCTCACAAGAGAATGCTTTACGAAAAGGATGCTCAGAATTTGTGTACTTACTTCAATACTTTCAAGACTTTGCATTTTCTTTCTTAATGTGAAATCAATTTATACTAACAACTGTATGCATGTTTTACCTGTCCAGTGCCTTACCGATTTTGATTCAAGTTTGATTATTAACACCTACATGAAAAAAATATCAAATGGCAACTATAGGAAATGAAGAAATAAAACCCCATTCTTACCATCTCTAAAGATGAGTCCCTGCACCAGCTTTGTTACCTCTGCACAATGTGTCTTTGGGAAAGGCACTTCCCCTGTTTTTCTACACAGTGATGGAACTGGGTGGATCATCTCTAAGAACTATTATAGCTTTATGCTTTAATGACAGAGTGAGCAATAATGAGATCCCTTTCCACCCCTATATCCTAAGCTACCCTTTCTAAGCAAGGGAATACACTGACTTGTTGTTTGCAGGTCTTGGACCTCCAAGGGATGAATGAGTACAATATTCTCCTAGGACCACAAGATCCAAAGGAGATTATCAAAGGTGAAATTGTCCCGAGAAGATAAAAAAACAATTAATAAATTATATTTACATCCTGAATAATGGCACACAAAGAATACTGGCATTCCCAATGTACAGAATTAAAAGTTTGGTCTCACTTATTGGAAGGAGAAAAGGTATTTTTGCACAAAATGGTAATGACTCCCATTGTAGGATAGTTATAAGATGATCACAAATAGCTATTCAGTAGTTTTAGAAGTTCTCACTCTTCAATAAACAGAGGACTCAGCTTTCACCTGTGCTTCAAAAATTGAGCATAGTAACTCTTGCTTTTTGATTTTTAATTCTTTGTGTGGTTATTAGTCCATGAATAAGCATCCCAGTAGTCACAACGATGATCCAGATAGCTTCTTATTCTTTATTGGATTCGATTTAATTTTCAGGGAGTTTCTTGACAAGACTTTATATGACCTCTTGTGGCTCTATAACCTGTAATTATGAGAAACACAAGACTGTCTAGTCTCTCCACTCCTTTTAAACATCATACAGAAAATCCTAATGTGATGAGAAAAGAAAATGATATAAAAATGGGGAGGGAAATATAAGACAGTCTTTATTTGTAGATGGCATGATTGTTTATGTGGATTGTTTTTTTAAAAACACAGAAAAATCCTCTTGGAACTAAGTGATTATAGCAAGTTAGAGGATGTGAGATTAATATACAAAGGTAAAATTTCACAAATGAACAACTGGAATTGGAAATGTAAAACATCATGCCAATTCTATAGCACAAAAATGGTGAGTTATTTTGCTGTAAATTTCCCAATAAACATTCAAGATCTATATAAAGGTAGTGACAAAATTGATGAAAGAAATAGAACAAGACCTAAATAGTCTATAAACGTGCATACCACGAGCCAATACTATTAGATTGTCATTTCTTCCCAACTTGACCAAAAGATAATTTCACTTAACACTTCATTTATAATTTCAATAACCTATGCCAATTTCAAAGACATTAAAAAACAAGAAGGCATAAGAAAAGAAAAATGGATGAGCTATAAAAGTCATCCTACATTTGGTACACATATGTACAAACTACTGCTAAAAATACCAGCAAGTGGCCAGATAGAGACAGACAGACAGATGGTCAAGAAAAGACAGAGATACAAAGAATGAATAGAATCACTTTATTTAAATGGTGTCGCAGTACACAAGCTTTCATAAACAAAAATGTTGTATAAACTTTCATCATCATAGAAGCAAAATTAATTTTATTTTATTTTTTAAATAATTCATATATATTTTACATGGAGAGACTATAAACGTAATATCATCATTTTCTCAAATGATCTTAGAAAGTAAGGTCTGTTCATTCCTCCTGCATTGTAGTCAATACTGGTGGCTTCTTCTGATTATTTAACTTTCTTCATCCTCTATTTTTTAAAGTAGTTAGAGTTGCTATGTAGCATTTTTTTTCTTGTACATTCCTAATGCAGTCATGTCTAATATCTCTGTTACACAGAGTGTGAAAACCTTCCCAGTGATTGGGGTGCTGTTTTTTCTCCCTTCTGAGGTGTTTTATTCACTTTTCTCTAAACTGGGAGGGTGGGAGCAGAGTGGAGGGGAGAATTGTGTGTGTGTGCCTCTTATTTCAGAGATGGGGTCATGTGTTTCTTCCCAAGATTTTGTTTCAGGTTCTGATGCAAGGTTTACTTCCATCTGTTTGTTGGTGGAACTTCTGCCCATTGGCATAGTCTAGGAATTCAGCTCAGTGATAGAATAAATATGATACCCTGAAACCTTTGCCTGCACTAGAGAAGAGCTCCTTAAATTATAGTTTCCACATCTGGAAATTTGCATGGAAAGTTTATCTTCTGTAATTTCTAGTTAAAATTATTACCTTCAAGTCAGAATCTTAGTAATAGATTATGTTAAAATATGCAGCAAGTCAGGTTTGCACTTATTTTCCTGTCTTTCAAATGACTCTTATTAGTGTTTTTCTTTTTGCCATCATTGGATTGTCTTCTGATTGTTTGTTGCCATCACTGTGGCTGTATGAAGAGTTTACACAAAAATCCTTCCATGGTGAGTTTTCGTACTAATCTCATCGTGATTTCCTTTTCCTAATCACTAATGGCGACAGAATTGAGAAAAAAAAAGTCTGAAGAACGCGCTTTCTGTGTTCTTATTTGCCTGGAAATCAGTGTATAATTTAATATTATTTCTTACCCCCTCTTTATTGAGATGATCTTGTCTTTATTATTTAGAAATTGAAAAGATTACAGCAGGTTGGATATTGGAAGAATTTAAACAAGACTATAGAACATGTTCATGTAAGGCTTTTAATAAATATCACAAAGAGAGCAGGTGGAGGCAGATACAGGAGGTCAAGAAACTTTTGACTGCAAATCTCAGGAGTCCTTTATATTTGTTAAGAATGCATTTTCCTGATTGAATACCAATATTTGTATAATGAGTATTGTTTTAAATACATTTAAAATGTTTTAAATTCATTGAAGTCACTACTTTCATAGAGCTTGCATCTTAGAAGTGAGAAACAAACAACAAACATTTTAAAATGCATGGCACTGACACATGATATACTGAAATAAAGCATATATGAGACTGGGAGGCTACTTCAATTGAGTGTCAGGAAAGGCTTCTCTGAAGAAGTGATATTGCAGGTGCGATTCTAGACATTGAGGATTGTGGTGATGAGTATGTAAGCTGGGGTCAGCCCACACAAAAGCTAGGAAGCTTATGAGTCTGTGGTGCACAGTGTAGACTGAGGTTAGACTGTTGTGATTGATGGAGAGCTCTTGCATAAGAAAAAGAGCTCTCTTGTGTGGTAGTGCCAGATCAAAAGATTTTTAGGAGAAAAACACATTACTTATGATTATTTGAAAATGTTTAGCAGTTAAACATATGACTAGGAATGTGGTGGTTATGAGTGCTAATCTGCATGGACTGTGTGGAATAGCAGAATTATTGGACCTGACTATAGAATACAGATAAAATCCTTGTGTTACTCAATGGAATATTACTCAGCATTCAAAAAAGATAAACACATGCAATTTGCAGCAACATGGATGGAACTGGTGGGATCATGCTCAGCAAAATAAGCCAAAAAGAAAAAGAAAAATACCGGATGGTCTCACTCATAACAGGAAACTAGAAAACCTAAATAAGGGACCAGGAAAAGGAATAACTTTAAGAAAGAAAAAAATCAAAGTCAACAAATAACTATGAACCAGAGACACACTGCGGGGGGAGGGCGGGGAAAGGAGGAACTGGGGTCAAAATCGGGGTTGCAATTGTATGGGGAATATAAAAATTTAAAAAAAAATTATTTCTCTAAAAAAAAAAAAAAAAAACCCATGTGTTACTATTTTCCAGGAACCTGACCTTGGGTACAGTGTGGAACTTTCTGAGTTTCAGGTTTAATCATTAGAAAATTTCAGGATGGATTAAATATGCTTCAGTGCTATTAGAGACCTGCCTTATTTTTCTAGAATTTTCTGGATTTTAATAATATCAAATTTATTTAATAAAGTGGTAAGAAAAGCTAAAGTGGTTGGCATAGAGAAGAAACCTAGAACACTCTCATCTCCTTTATTTTCATGTAGTCTAAGAGAGGAAAAGTAAATATAAGAATTCTTTTAATTCTCTGCAAATACAAAACCAACTATGCTTTAATCAACATGAAAGTAAAGATTCTGTTTAAGTCAGGGTATTTGTTTGAATCCACTCTTCTTCTGTTTAGTAGCTGATCTTCAGAGAACTAACATATCCTCTCTGCATCTAAATTTCCCATTAATATACCATGATAAATAAGACAGTTGTGATTGTAGGGTTTTTATAAGGTAATTCCTATAGAGATGGTGTTTAATAAATCTGTTACTGATATTGTTAAAACTCATTTGTTGAGTAAGAAATTTTCCTTCCTTCCAGCCCCTTTTTTCGCACTGGGCCCTGGGAATCTGTACACATCTTGTTCAGACAGCAGGAGAAAACCTTAGGAGGTATAAAAAGTATAAAAGAATATACCTTAGGAGGTATAAAAGAATCAGAGGCAAGAAGGGGTAGTCCAGAAAGATATATATGTATTTAGAAGTTTGACTGCACACACTCTCTATTCAGTTTTTTTAACTTATACTTCTTATTTGTAGAAATTTATTCATTTAATAAATAGTGTTTGAACAACTATGTCATTTAAAACTCTAGGTATTAGAGATCTAGAGAAAAGACACAGGGTCATAAAGCTGACCTTCTAGAGAGGTAAATGAGATCACCCAACTAGTGTATTGTTAGAATTGTTTAAATAAAGTTGACATGTGTGCTATGAAAGGGATCGATATTCATATTTCACATTTATCTATTTTGCTCCTTGGAACTTGGAAAAAAGAAAATAACTTACTGAACATATTAGAGTGTTTATGTCCAAATTTTCAAAGTCCCAATATGATTTTCTTCTGACACCTTCCAGAGTGAAGAGTCAAACAGTAGTGGAAGGGTATATCAGTTGTCTAAACTTTTCTGTTATTTTCTGCAATGGTCCATCTTCTAGCTTTTTAGTCTAGTTTTGGTCACAGTCTGATTGCAGGAGAAGAGTTTCTATGTGAACTGTGAAAACTACTTAAGTAACATGTTTCCCCCAGGAATGTGTGAGCATGTGTGTGGAACTGAGACTATCCTCAGTGCTTATCCACTTCTCTCCTCAGTTCTCTTGGTACTATGTTGTCCCTTTCTTGAATGTAGAATCTTTTGCTCTGTTTTTGCAATATTTTCAAAAAATATTACTGCTGTTACAAAAATAAGAGTACAAAACTCTTTAGGAGCTTTTCTTCTAGAAAAGAAAGAATGACCATGTATATGGTCTAAACTCCTCCCACAATTTCCAGATCTTTGGAAATTACAACTCTATTATCTCAGTTCCTTCATTAATCTCATTCTCTAAAAACACATATCCAATATGTCAATATATAGGTATCATCAATACATCAACAACATTTTGGTCTGTAACACATATCCAGAATATCATCTCTTCTCTGGGTTAACATAATCCCTTCCTAACTGGTCTAACTCCCAGCCATATCCTACTGGAAGTGGAGATAGCAGAGTGATTATTCTTTCCTTTGGTTCTTATTTTGAACAATTTTTAGTCTATAGAAAAGAACACTGATCATGTTTCTTCCTGAATTCACTGTTGTTAATATTTTGCCACATTGACTTTAGTGTTCTATTTTCCCACAACACACCATTCGCACATGCAAACCTACACTTATGCACACACGATTGTACTAAATGATTACACGTCATACTTTATCAATAAAGGGATCGGCATCTATGGCTGAAGAGTGGGGACATTCTCCTACATCACCACAGTAAAACTATTACATTGAGTAAACTAAACATGATGTAATTCTTAGATGAATATATGATCTATATTTGAATAAATTCAATTGTCCTAATAATGAGGGTTTTAGGCTCTTTTTTTAAAATCCAAGATCTGAGCATGATGTTTATTTGACATTTCCCTTTGATATACATTAATCTAGAATTGTTCCTCAGTCTATCTTTTATGACTTGACATATAAAAAGAACTGTGGTCAATTATTTTAGAGATTATCTGTCAGCTTTGACTTGTCTCTTTCCTTATGGTTAAATATTTTTGGCTCAAATGGCTATATAGGTGATGATTTTTGAGGAAATAAGCAGAAGGCACATGATGTCAATTTGTGCCCTTATTGGTTGTGTTACTCATTAGGTTAAGATTGTTTCTACTAAGTTTTAGGGTCCTAAAGGTACTCCCTCTCCTTTGTATGATATTTTGAGATTATTTTTTTATTTATCTACTTTTCTTGACCCATTGATTTTAATTTCCATTGATTCTTACCTAATTACCTGATGATTAGTACAGTCATTGTAATATGATGAGTTTCTAATTTTATCAATCCTGACGCATTTAATAGTGTTACCTTGTAAAAGAATATTCCCTTTTCTGCTACCTTTATTTTTTAGTTATAATAATTTTTGTATATCATAAATTCTCACATGCCACTCATTTTCATTGATCAAATTGTCCTAAATTTCTAGAGTGGGAACTTCTTCCATAAATTTTGGTCACTATTTTATGCTGTGAGATAATAAGATATTCCAGGCTTATCTTTAAATTTGGAATCTGCCATTTCTCCACAAAGACCCAACTTTTAGTGTATTTGGGCATAGTATTTAGAAATCAGATATCACTGGGTACTAGGTATCATCATTGTTACTTGAATTTTATTACTTCTAGGCCCATTCAGCAGAAAGGCAAGAGTAATCTAGTAATCGTCAGATTTGTATATCACTTTAGGTAACATGGTCATTTTAAAAATGTTAATTCTTCCCAATCTATGAGCATAGAATATCTTTCATTTTTCTTTCTTTTTTTTAAAAAGATTTTTTTTATTTATTTATACAAGCACTGGGTACAGTCAGAAGTGCTGGAGGGTGAGAGGATTCACCGGAGCCAGAGCTGGGAGCAGAACAGGCAGACCAACAAAGTACACTGCTAAGGGGAGCAGCGGGCGGCAGGAGAGGTCTGTGTGCCATGTGGGACCTTCACCCGGCAGCCGGGGATCGAACCAGCGCTGCAGAGGCTGTGGGCAGCTTTGCAGCTCAGCGCTCAATCGCTGCGCCACCGGGGAGCCCATTTTTCTTTCTTTTTTTTGTATCTTTTTCTATATGTTTCAGTGATATCTATAGGTCTTTTACCTTGCTGGTTAAACTTATTCCCAGGTATTTTTTTCTTTTTTGTACAACTGTAAACAGGATTGTTTCCTTAATTTCTTCTTCTTGAATGGTCATTATTTGCATATAGCAATGTAATTGATTTTTGTATATTGATTGTATTCCCTCCAAACTTACTATATTGGTTTATTGTTGGTAATAGACTTTGGTGAAGTGAGTCCTTAGGGTTTTCTGTGTATAAAATCATATCACCTGCAAATAATGACAGTTTTAACTTCTTTCTGATTTCGATTCCTTTTATTTCTTTTTGGTGACAAATTGCATTGGCTAGGACTTCAGTTATGTTGCATAATAGTGATGGAAGTAGTCAACCTTGTCTTGATCCTGATCTTGGAGGAAAAGTTTTCAGGATTTCACTATTGAGTATAATGCTAGCTATGGATTTGTTACATATGGTCTTTATTATGCTGAGGCATTTTCTTTCTCTTCCCATTTTATTGAAAGCTGTATCATAAATGGGTGTTTTGCATCCATTGGAGTGATCATTTGGCTTTTATCCTTCATTTTGTTGTTGTGGTATATCACAGTGATTCTTTGCAGATGTTGAGTCATCCTTACATCCTAGAATAAAACCCTTTGATTATAGTATATGATCCTTTACGTGTATTGCAGGATTCAACTTGCTAAAATTTTGTTGGATTCAGGTCACTTTTCTGTCCACACCTTTCATTGGTTTCCCATTTCACTTAGAGGAGTCAAACCTTTAAAACTTGTTCTTAGGACCCAAAAAAGATTTTTGTCTTCCATCAGATTTCTCAAACTCTCACATCCTTGTTTAAAAAATCAAGTCCCTTAATCCAGAGCCCAACTCTCTTCTATGTTTTAGTTTATCCCCTAGTACTTATTAACATATTAAGGTACATGTTTGTTTCTTGATTTGTTCATGATTTGCTCCCCATGAGGGTAGGAAATTTTTCCTACCTGACAAAAAAGTATTCACGGATTGACAGGAAGAATAAATTATAAGCCTAAGTAAGACTTAGGGGGTCTTCTGAATAATGAGAGAATAAATAACAAAAAAATTAAGGCAGTTAATCAGAAGAAAGTTATCTTGAGATTCAACTTATGAGAGTCAAAGTATACAATAGTTTGGCTATAATTGTAAATTAAAATTATAGTTATCACTTCTCAGTTGTTTGGCTGAAATCAAGCATAAAATCAAAAATTTTTAGTCATTTTGTCCCTTTATAGCTATGCCACTATATTCTCAACCAGACTTGAGACCTCTGCAAGATGGATCTCGATGATTATGACAATAGTTAAATGTCTTATGAAAGTACTATTTACTAGAAACTTGATTCCTTTAAAATTCAAAGAAATGTCTACTGCTTTTGCAACCCTGTCATGTATTAGAATTCCAAGAGAATTGACATATTCAGTCATTTTAGATCTTTCAGTTTTAGGGATTTTCAGTTTAGCAAGAAAATTACACAAAGAGTTCTAATATGCATACATATATAAACTTCATATCTATACATATAGACATTGCAACTTTATATTATATATGTGTGTATATATATGTACACATATACACATATATATATTTAGACCAGTGGGTAAGAAGTCTGCTTTTTCAGTGACTAGGTAACTAAGGAGAGTAAAAAGACACATGTGTTGGGATTAAAAGAGGAAGTGAGGGTCACCAAAAAGAAATCATCCTGACAGTTAAGTTTAAGATAACCCTTGAATTGGAACTATTTACCCTTAAAAACAAGCAGAAATAAAATATAAGATAAAGTCTATGTTTAAAAGTGCTATTTCTTTTCCAAAGTACTGTTTTCTATACAGACCTGGAAAGTATCCCACAATTCAGAAGTTTTTTAAGAGATTCTTTGACATCCTTGTTCCTAAGACTGTAGATCATGGGGTTAAGCATGGGAATCACTGTGGTATAAAAGACGGAGGCTACCTTCTCCTGAGTTGTGTCGCCGGTAGATGGTTTAAAATACATGAAAATGATGGAGCCATAGAAAACCCCAACAGCTGCAAGGTGGGAGCTACAGGTGCTGAAAGCTTTGGACCTGCCTTCAGCGGAGCGGATGCGCAAGATGCTGGAAACAATAAAGGCATAAGAGATGAAGATGGCTATAGCACATGCAAACACATTGAAAGAAACCAGAACCATCACCAGCAGTTCCTTGGTGAAGTCTCTCGAGCAAGAGATACTCAGAAGAGGAAGGATATCACAGAAGTAATGTTGAATGATGTTAGTTCCACAGAAGAAGCGACTAGATATGTAGCTGGTATGAACTAAGGCACCGAAGAACCCCACTGTATACACCCCGGTGACCAGGAGAAAACAGACTCTGTTGGACATGGTGACATTGTAGAACAGGGGGTTACAGATGGCAACGTAGCGATCATATGCCATAGCTGTCAGCATGTAGGAATCATCGATACCAAAGAAGCAGAAGAAAAAGAGCTGTGTCATGCACTCAGGAAAGGATGTGAAATTCTTCTCTGACACGAAGTTCACTAACATCTTGGGGATTATGACAGAGGAGTAGCAGAGATCTATGAAGGACAAGTTACTGAGAAAATAATACATGGGTGTGTGAAGCTGAGAACTGAACCTGATTAAAAACACCAAGCCCATGTTGCCCACCATGGAGACTGTGTAGATCAATAAAAAGAAGACGAAGAGAGGAAGCTGCAGTCCTGGCTTGTCTGTTAACCCCTCGAGGATAAACTCAGTGACTAAAGAATGATTTGCTTTATCCATCTTTCTCGCAGTGGTGAGAGCCTGAGAGCAGTTGAGGAAAGAGGTTTCCTCAGACAGACTTTGTCATCTGGCAGAATGTCGTGAGCCAAGATCTGATGAATGACATAATTGCTAAGTGATACAAGATTTCAGGTTTTAAAGGAAACCTCTGTCAAGATGTTGATGCTTTGTTTGGTTTCAGTCTTTATTACTCCTATGTGACATCATTTTGGAGTGAAAATCATTTTGTCTCCACAAACTGAATTTTAGATTCTCCTATAAATAAAAAGAACACTCCTGTTACTTAGTAGCCTTTAGAGAAACTGTCCAAAGCCACTCTGCTACTTTGTTGGTTTTCAGTCTGTAATAGTCAGTGCTCTCCTCTGATGTCTTGAATTCACCCTCTCTTCCACTGATACCCCTTGAATTTCCCTTTTGGCAACTTTAATTTACTCATTCAGACCCTAACTCCAATTAATATTTCATGGTTTTGATAAGGCAATGTAATTTTAAATGGGGTCTCAAAAGTGTTTTGAGTCTAGATAACATAATTTGAGTCTAGATAACATAATTCTGGGAGTCTAGATAACATAATTCTGGGAAGAAGGACTCTCAGGCACACAGGTTCTGAAACATAGCGTGCCTTGTGTTGGAGGAAATGCCAGGAGACCAGAGTGTGGCTGAACCAGAGAGAGCAAGGATGAGAGTATTAAATGGACTTGAAGGTGGATCAAGATGCCAGGAAGCAGCCTTGGTAAAAACTGACTTTTACTTTCCTGCAATGGATCGCTGATGGAGCTTTGCAGAAAATAGAATGTTACATGTTCTCATTTATTTTAAAAGGATCACACAAGCTCTGATTAATCTGTCAGTAATGTTCATTAAGGAATGGAAAGAAGATTACAGCAAATCAGGTAGGAGATAAAATGTGCTCCAGTTGAGACATGAGAGCTTGGGCCAGGCCGATCATAAAGGATATAGTAAGAGGACAGATTAATCTGAGATAGATGACATTTGTTTACCAGTTGGATATGCACTTCTGAGAAAGAGTGGCAAAGCTGGGATCGAGGATTTGAACCTGAGATTGGATCAATGTGCTAGTAGAAGAGCAGGTTTGGGAAGTATTTTTCTGCTTATTTTAAGTTTGTCTAATCTATCACCAAATGGAATGTATGAATCTGGAGTTCAGAGGCGAGGTCTGGCTTGGGCATCACAACAGTGCCTTGTATGTAGATAGTTAATATGTTGCAGCCCGGTCATTTTTAATATTATCAGGATTTTTAGAATGTTTCCTCCAATTTTTCCCCATGTCTTCCTTCTTGATTTACTTTCTACTGATACATAACCAGAGCTGTAGTTCAAAAGACCCTCTGTTATAGTGAAATGGAAACATTAAATTCAGAATCTGGAAGCTAATAGAGACCCAAAACCTGAATGATTCATGCACCCCTATGCTCACTGTGGTAGTAATTACAGTAGCCAAGACACAGAAACAACCTAAGTATACATTGATGGATGAATGAATGAAGATATACAGAAACACACACATATACATACACACAAAATGGAATACTTGGGTATAAAAAAGATGAAATCTCGCCATTTACAACAATATATCTTACATTATTATGTGGGCAAGTGCTCTGTAAACTTTAAAATTCAATACAAAGGAGAGATATTCATAATTATTTATGAATAGATTTGTCATGAGAAGAAAGCCAAGAGATGGAAGCCAGAACAGATCTAGAGGAGGGAGAAATGGTCTCTGTGCTGTGTACTCTGTGTTCACCTGTTGTGAGGCAGGCACTGCCTGCTCATTCAGTCCATTGGGTATAAAACAATAGCTGAATAATAAGAATTTTTAAGTACCACTGCAAATTCAATTTCCACTGCAATATCTCATTAAGGGAGATATTATTTTATGACTTACCTGAATAATATCACCAGGTAAAGTGCTGCTGGTCCTAAATGAGATTTTATCTTTGGTCTCACATAGTGCATATATGTGCACTTACACACAGTTATGAGATAATTTTATCATTAAACACAAATGGCCCAGATTCTGGCAAAACAATGGAGTTGCTTCTGTATAAGAATTCAGGGTATTGATGAAAAGTAGCCTCTCAATACCAACTAAACAGCAAGAAAAGTAATCCCAACAAATCTTAGTCTTCTATTACTGAAGGAAAATTTTATTTGAATCTGTTTGAACCTGAAGGAGATGATTGTGAGCAAAAGTTCCCCTTAGGGGCTTGTCATCCCAATAGTTAGATTCTATAGGGAAGAAACAATTATAAAGTATGTATTTGCTGGAAATATGGTAGCATTCCTCTTGATCCCTGGGGTATATGAAACAAATACCAAATTTTTTTCTCCAATTGTTAGGGAGATTAATAATAATTCCATAGTAAACATCAAACTTTTGAGACCCCATTTATAATTACATTGCTTTATCAAAACCATGAAATATTAAATTTTTCCTTAGCAATATAAATTTTCTGTAATCTAGTTAAATCCATTACAGCATTTCCAGGAATGCTGTAAATCCATTACAGCATTTCTAGGAATGCTTTTTCTTAAGTTTTCTGGATATTTTGGAGGATTACACATGGAAAAATTAATATGGGAATTTAAAATGGTTTCTGTGTTTTAAAAAGGTTTGATTTGGATTCCAAAGCATTTTCTTATAATGCCACATGTTTATGGAAAATATAAATTTATACAATTTTCCGGCTCAGTCCTAATTTCAAATATGTGACTTTTTGCCAATCTAAGGTATTGCGAATTACCTGTTCATTATAGTCCCATAGACCATAGTGGGCTATAAACACTCCTCTGTATCTTGATAGGTATGATAGTTACTTGAGTGAACATATTTATCAAAAATCATTGAATTAAGCCCTTGATACCTGTTCATTTTACTAATATTATCTAAAACAGCTGTAATATAAAAATATAAAAGACTATATAATCTCAAGTAAACATAATTATAAAATAACTTATAACTGCATAAAATTCACAACAAAATACATCGTATAGAGAGTAAAAGGGCAAACTATTAACTAGGAAAAAATAATTGAAACACATGGAACCAGTCAATAAATTTTTTCCATACTTATAAAGAAGGTCCACAAATTAATAAGAAAAGGGTAAACAACCTGATTGAATAGGCAATGGATGTAAGTAATTTCTCTGTCTAGTAAATCCAATGGCAAATCAATGGAAAGAATTTGACTTCATAGAACCAGCCTGTCATGAGCGCTCAGGATACCATATTTCAACGACTGGCCATGGCTTTGGTCTCCCACATTTAAGACTCTTAAGTATGTTTGGAGATAGGAAAATCCGGCTCCAGATTCACTTGTGAAGGATACCCCTGAATGTCCTCATTAGTGAAGTGTTGACACTATCTTGGCCTTTCTCATGTCACAAGATCATAGAGAGAGAGCAGCTAACAGTGTGAACAAATTAAACTGCAAATCGCTGCTAATTAGACATGTCATCATTTGCTACCATCCTCCCACTTGAAGATGATTGAATGCTTTCATCTCTGGGCTTGTATTTTCTTAGAATGAATACAAACAAGATATTTCCTGTTTAAAGGAATCTGTTTGATGACTATAGCACTTTCTATTTATAGAAGAATCTTAATATAAGCTCCCTGGCAATTATTTGTAATGGAGAATCAAGCTAAATATATAAGGACACACATTTCTGTATGCAGGTTTACAATCTTTTTAGGAAGGATACATCATTCATACCCATAAATCCCTAACTATTTAAATACTTGAGGGTATCAACAGTTCTCAAATGTGGACAGGGAGCAACTTGAGGTAGGTTTAAAAAACTTTCAAGGGCCTCCGCTGGTGGCGCAGGTAGTTGAGCACAGCGCTGTGAAGCTCTCTGCAGCACGAGTTTGATCCCAGCAGGCCGGCGAGAATCCACATGGCGTGACAGACCTCTCCTGTCTCTCCCGCTGTTCCCCTCAGCAGTGTATTTTGTCAGTCTGCCTGTTCTGTTCCCCGCTCTGTCTCTGGTGAATCCTGTCACCCTCCCGCACATTTGACCTGTATCCAGGTTCTTGTCTGTATGAATAAATAAATCTTTTAAGAAAAAAACTTTCAAGTAAGAAATAAGCAGGACTCATTTTCTTAAAGACATGTTTCCTTAAATATATGATGGGGAAAAATAACAACTTTTATACTAAAAAAAAATTGTATCTACTGGGAAACAGGACTTTAAAAAAATGCTGCAACTTTAAGCATAACTTTGAACATACCCTGCCCCTAATATTCCTGCTTATCTGCCAAAAGTGAGAAAAACATAGTGGAAAATTTAAGAACTACCCAAAGAGCATGGACTGGCATTTGAAACCTAGCTCCACAAAATGCCTTTGCCCTTGTCTTCCACAGATCTAGTAACTGTAGAAATTCTATAGAGAGACAAGAATGTCATTGGGAGGCTCCTGGCTGAGTGCCCCATTCGACTCCAAAGAATGACAGTCATGAGCCTCGTGTTTTAATCATGGTCAGGACCTGCCCTCCGCTTGCAAGCTTAGAGACCTAATTTTTTTGAACATCAACAGGAAACTATTCTTTTGGAAATGGACGTCATAATAACTAAGCTCAATAGTTGATGTCCACAAGCAGAATGCTATTTATTAAATTGCAGCAAAATTAGGACACATGAAGGTATTATCATATGTCTGATGCAGTCAGGCTACGTGGGAGATCAGTGCATAACCTGGATGTCAATATTAATGCAATCTGAGGACTCTGTATTACAGAAACGGTATAATATAGTCTGCACAACTCATTCTCTCCTGGTGGGAAGACCTGAGTGTGAAGTCAAACAGAAGTACAACTGATTAGCTTGGAAAATAGAACAAAGTAAAAAAAAAATCAACTAGTCTCAAACTTTTGGGTTTTATAAATACGTAAATTCAAGGAGGAGGAGGAATAGAACTCACAAGTCATAGCATTATTGGACATTTTTATTTTGCCAAATTATTATATTAAAAT